TGCCTGGTGACTGTCAGGGAAGGGCTGCCAACGTTGCCAACTGGGTGGCTGTTTTGTAATTTAGACACTGTAAATCTAAGGCAAGTAATTTCCTTCTAGAAATTTGAATTGCCTCCTTAGCAGAATGATGAGAGTTAGCTTTGAGCTGTGGGGTTAGATGAGAGCTTTAGAAAAGATACCCAGAGGACTCTATTAATTGCACTCTCATTTTAAACGTAATATGGTTTTTATTCACAGGAAACTTCGGTGGTAAATTTCCTATAAGCATCAGCTTATGATTTAGAGGACTGAATGGCGCTTTTGAGGTTTAGTTCAGCAGGCAGTAGAGGCTGTAATAGAGTGATCACCTCCTCTCCTGCTTCGTGTGTGCAGGGCTGACAGGGACAGGGAGCTTGCTTATGTTGGAAAAAATGTGAATAGGGCTTATAATCCATCTATAAGCTAAAAGTAGCCAGAAAATAGTAATAACACATTTTTACATAGCAAACTGTGTCTGTCACCATCTGAGCCCTGCATGAATGCACTCCTTGCATGACCCTGGGCCTGTGAGCTGGGCCCCAGGGTGAAGAAGACACAGAGACGTGAGTCACCTGGAGCCAGGAGTCTAACCAGGGCCATTGGGCTCCAGGGTCCACACACTGAACCATGTGCTCTGCTTGAGCACCTACTGTGTGCTAAGAACCCTTCTAAGGTGAGACCATAGCAGACTATGGCCCTTCGGCGCCTGACTCCCTGAAGCTTATATGCCAAGGGTCAGGATGTGGGAAGATGATTTAAAATAATACTCGAAGTAAAAGAATGTTGCGTGTAGTTTGTGACTAGGATATTTAAACTGGCTAACATATGCTTTTGGGGAATAAGCCATTAGTTGCATCTGATAAACGGAGTTCATTAAAATCTTCTTTTCAGGCATACACTAGCCAAGAAGACCTGTTTTTTTTTTTTACTATATAAATGTAATGCTGAGCTCCCAGTGCCAAGACCAATTTAATTCATTTGCTCAATTACAATTTAAAAGAAAGAACTTTCGTAACATATTAGCTGTCTGCTACTTTGGGGTAATGACTGGCTGAATTGATGAACTTTATATAATGATCTGTTGCTGTGGCAACATGCTGCCCAGTGAGTGGAAGAGGGCATTTCATCATTACCTTACAGATAATGGTTGGAACAGCAAAGGATGCATACACAAAAGTTTCCTTTTACGCGGCAGTAACTCTGGGTCAATGAGACAACACTAAGAACGGCTCTCAGACACAGTGTAGGGGAATCAGAGGCCGATGCACAATTAAAATAAAGTAATTTAGCTTCCCAGGTGAGCAGCCTTGGTATCTGCCCTGACTCTCCAGCCTGCCACACGTAATACCATTGTCAGAATTGCTGCTTGGCTCTTCCAGAGTTTTAATTTCTGTTCTGAATTCAGCATGTGGAAAGCTGAATAATAACCATTTCTTTAAAATAGGACAAAACTAAGAGAAACAGTAAGAGGAAAATGGAGTCAAGATTACAGATTTCACTGTCTAATGCTTTGCAATAACCCCTATATCTTTATATCACATTTTCCTGAATTAACTCTGTTACTCTGTGACTTTTCTTTTCTTATAAAACAAATTTTATATATCAGGTATGTTGCCACTCCACCCTCTAAGTTTTTTATTGCACATGAAAGGAAATGTATATATTTATTATGAGTTTTGGAAATGCTTCAGGCTGCTGTTCTTAAGAAGAATTAATTTCTCTGCATGTTTTTTCATTGCTCAGGGTTCTCAAAGTTAATAGAATTGGGGTCACTCTACACATAGGGTATGATGACTTTCACTTTATTGTTTGTTTCATTGTTGAAGCTATAGTGAATGGCGGAAAGCTGTCCGATCATCTCCAAGTATGAAAAGTCAAAAATTACTTAATTCACAGCAGTAGTAAAAATTTTATTGAGTTGACCATGTTTTTTCCCCATCTCTCCCTCCCTCCTTCCTTGCTGCCCTCCTTCTTTCCTACAAAAGAATTTTTTTTTTCTCTCCAAAAAATCTCAAATTTTGGTCAGATTGAAATTCTACAAATCTTCCACAAAAAATAATTCATTATAATCAGCGACCTTTTCCTCAGATACTTGAAAGTTCATTCCTGAGCGTTCATTAGTTCTCTGATTTCCTCCAAAGATCACCAGAGTCATTAGTCTAAAGGTCGTGAGCAACAGCATCAGCTGTATGAATTATTGTGTAATGTTTATTAAAATGCATCAGTTCTTCACAATGTTACATGTCCTGTGTTATCTCCCATTCTTTTCTAACCTATAGCCATATGCATAGGTTATAGGCACTAAGTAAAATAAATGTCAGTATCTGAAAATACTAATCTGTTAATAATGTACATCTTATGTTACGACCATATACCGTAAAAAATTTTAGTCTAACATATAATTTATGACACTTTTGCATTAGAATTCGAGTCATAATATTTTAGGGATATAGGGAAAATAATATACAGTGTATTTTTGAAATTGCTTTGAGCAAATTATCTGGATGGCAAAATCTATTTTTTATTTCCTACTCTTAACCTGGAGTCTCTGTGTTAGTTTGCTGGGTGCACATGTCTGTATCCTAATTTCCTCATCTTATAAGGACACCATCCACATTGGGTTAGGGCCCACCCATATGACCTCATTTTATTTTATTTTAATTACTACTTTTAGGGCTAAGTACAGTCACATTCTGAGGTACTAGGAATTAGAACTTCAACATAGAATTTGAGTTCATAGCAGAACCTCCCTCCCCTCCCCTC